TAACCTATGCACTCCTAGTTAGATTTGTTAGAGCATCATAATTTATCTCAGTAAATACACATTAGTGTCAAATTCAGTCTTAGGAAGTAGCCTCATAATGGAGTAAGGTGCTCTCTGTTGGAGCATTTTAATTAGAAATGTGATAAAGTACTTTCCCTTTTCCCTTGGTAGATGTAGTTGAGCTATAGTATGTTAGGTTTTCTGATCTCTGGAGATTTTTAATTTGATTTTTTTATAAAAAGTGTCTGTTAATTATTGACATTTCAAGCATGACTATTGAAATAAATGAATTTGAGTCAAGTATCTTAGATTATCATCTCCATGAGGAGTAAAAACAACATTTTGAAAAAGGCATTCTAAACACATTTTGCTTCCCCCCGCCCCAATATGTGAAACAATGGGTGGCTTACTTAAAATAGCAGCTTTTGTTGTAATTTAGGATTATTAGTGGGTAGACACAAGCAGCATGTCTCCTCATGCTGCTAAGGTAATTATAGGTTATATTTGATTTTAACTTGTCACTAATAACAGCCTTTTATTTCATGGGTCAGTACTGAATTGTCTGAAAGAGTTTTCTCTCTACTCTCAAGATTGCAGACCACATACATTGAAAAGGCACAAAATTGGTAAACATTTTATATTTATCCCTTTTTCATACTTTTTCCCCTCTTGCTCTCAATACACATTGACAGCAAAGCATATGAGAGCTGTAAAAGACTTCTCAGCAAACTGGGAAGAGGATTTCTGAAAATTAATCCTCCATTTATATTTAAGGAGTATGGTTCATTATTTCAGAAGAAGTATTTTGATTTGAGCTTTGAGATTACAATTTGATGGTTTTCTAGAAAGTTGATGAGTTTTATAAATGAATAATAATAATGATTTTTTTTTTCTGAAAGTAAAATAATCAGTTTTTGAAGTTGACATGAATTTGGTTTTGGTGGAGCAGTTAGTGGAGCTAATGGTTTGGATGTGAGGAGTAGTCCTAAAGTTTATGGGTGAGACAATGCTAGACGGTTTAGAGGACAAGTGATTAGACTGAGAGAATCTTAACCCAATCAGTGAATCAATCTCCTGAAGGGATTAACTGAGTGGTAACTGAAGGCAGGTAGGGTGTGGCTGGAGGAGGAGGGTTATTGGGGGTGTGCCTTTGGGGTATATCTTTTATATCTGACAAGTGGAGTCTCCCTCTGCTTCCTGATTATCTTGTGAGCAGCTTCCCTCTGCCACACTCTTCCACCATTATATTTTATCACACCTGGTATTCCTAGAAAGGGAGCCCACTGTCTGTGGACTGAAACCGCTGAAACTGTGAACCCCCAAATCTTTTCCTCCTCTAAAATTGTTCTTTTCAGGTCTTTTAGTCACAGCAGCAAAAAAAGCTCACTAAAACAGAGTCTAGCTTTGACCTAAAAGGAAACAGGCATTAGCCTCTTATTTTTGCCTGAAGCCTTTTTTTCCATTACCAAAATGAAATGAAGTAAGAACAAACACAAGCACACAGCTTGTGAGTTTGAATGGACTTGCTCTATTACCCAAATTAGCTCTCTTTATTTCATTTCATATTTTAGATTAGCTTAAAGGTCGCTGGAAACTCTTGTCAGCCTTGCTTGAAAGTATTCTTCTTGAGCAATTGAATAAGCTTGGCTTACATACTGTAAGAGCAATTTCATATCCGGGACCTTTGTGAACTAGCAAAGCAAATTGTAAATTGCAACACATTTCCCTGGCCTGACAGAATTAGGGAGTTTCTTAAAACTGGTTTCAAGTTTTGGCTTGTTCTAATCTAGACCCACCCTGAGGGGATTCTTGTGCTCTAAATTCTTAAAATGAGAAAAACGCCCAGTACCTGACTTGGACATTTTATGTCAACTATGCCAGTATGATAAACATGATAAGAAGATGGTAATTTTGTGGTTCTTCTTTTCTCCCCATATTAAACTGTTAAACATTAGCTTTTATGTTTTATTTAGTGAAAACCAGTAGTGCTTTCTTACATGAAATACATAATCATTATAGTATTGTGTGTGTGTGTGTGTGTGTGTGTGTGTGTGAGAGAGAGAGAGAGAGAGAGAGAGAGAATCATTGGATTAATCAGTTAACAGAAACTAGCCTTATCATCAAACAAATTTCAACGTGTAATTTTTAATCTCAATTTTCCCCAAATAAATGTCAACTCTGCACATATCTCTTTTCCATTCAAATAGCAAGTCTATATTTTCTTTCTTGCTAATATCATCGTCTAGGTAAAACAACTAGGAATATAGCAGTATCTGATTAATATGGAAAGTCTATGTTAATAAAAAAGAAAGATGGAAGTTGGGATTAGCAAAGTGTAATTTAAAACATTATTTGGTTAATTTGTTAAGATGATTGTTTTTTATCGGGAAATGAAACTCTAATAAGTCAAGGTGATATACAACTAGGGGAACAAGGGCACCATGGGATCAGACTGGATTGATATCGTTACATGTCTCTAGAATCCTGCAAACCAGCTTCTGAACATGCAAGTTAACTGCGTATCTTCCCAACTTGTGAGGTACATAATATATAATAGTCTCAAATGGCATTTGCTTTCTTAGACCACCAAGAGACTGTCTCATGCAACAGCAAAGGGTTTATTGGGGGTCCAGCATGCTGGGGCTCAGAGCTCACTTCAGAAGAGCAGAGAACAAAGAGCCCCGAGAACCACTTGAGCAGAGTTTATATACATTCTTTAGAGAGGGCAGGGGCTTTACAAAAATCATAGCCTCCTTTAGCAAATCATCATATACCGCGGGAAAATCAAATAACAACTCCAAAACATGATTAGCACATTCATTGGCGGGAACAGGTCAGGTGGGGGTGATTGGTTAGTACTAAGATAGGTATATATTTAAACTGATTGGTTGAAGCCCTGAGATGTGTACATGCTGAGCTGCACGGTTTCTGGGAAGGGGTGATTTAGTATCTAGGTGGTGAGGGGAAGATTTCCACACACATCTAACAGGCAGTTCCGGGAATTGTCTTAACTGCCACAGGAATTTCAGGCTCTGAGCGCAGCTTGGAAACTTCTACAAAACCTGGTCCTTTACATTTTAACTTCAATTTCTTTTATCCTTTCATTTCCCACTCCTTTTTCTGACTACTTTTAATCTTAAAAGTAATAAAACATAATTATTGAGGGGTCTCACATTCTATTTCTGTCAGTGGAGCGTATTGCTGTCTAATTACCATGAGTTTCACCTGTCCAATCTGAGCCTGGAGAAAAGAAACTATGCGGTTAAGCAAACAGGGTCCCACAGTTAGTAATAGCATAAGGATGATCAGGGGTCCAGCTAGGGCTGATAGGAGTGTAGTTAACCAGGGGGACTGGGTAAACCATGACTAAAACCACCCTTGTTGAGTCTCCCTTTCTCTCTGGCACTCTTCAAGGCGTTTTCTCAATTTACTCATGGATTCTTTTACAACTCCAGTATGGTCAGCATAAAAACAACATTCATTCTCTCAGTGCAGCACAGAGGCCCCCCTCCCTCATGAAGAGGAGGTCTAATCCTCGCCTATTCTGTAAAACAACTTCAGAGAGAGAGGTTAAGGATTCCTGCAAAGCTGTGATGGAGGTCTCTAACGTCTTCAAGTCTTGATCTATTGCTGTTTCTAATTGGGCCATTTGTTGTGACCCACGGATCATAGCAGCTCTTCCCGTACACACTCCTGCAGCAGCTCCTATCCCCAATAGGATGGCGAGAGTAAGGGACACTGGCTCCTGGTGAAATCGGGTTGTTTGTCCCCCTAGTAGACCTTCAAATGATTCTGCATCATGATAGAGCACCCTGGGGAGTATCTGCACCATTACACAATAATTTACAGAGCTGTCAAATACCTGGGCTGAAATGCAAGGAGTTAGCCCTGAGTTGCATGCCCACCAGGTCCCTTTCTCAGGGACTAGGAAGCCCTGTGAGGTGTTGATCTCTTCTATCTGGGTACATAAGTGTTGTTTATTTTTAGGTGGGGACCCTAGACATAAGCCTGCTCCAGTTACCTCCGGGAGGGTTAACTTAGGATTTACACCCCATGTACAGAATGAATCATTAGTTCTTATATCATAGGTTCCATTCACAGATATTCCTTCATAGTAAGGGGGTGCTGCTGAAAGGCAGAGCCAGCAGGACTGAGTTAGTTCCGCCTGGGTGGAGTTCAATACTGTAAAAGTGCCTTGAATGAGTTCCCATGGGGAGGATTCAATATTAGTATGAGTAGAGGGAATAGAGGATTTGGAAGTGAGAGGGTTAATGTGAGGAGATGGGCTAGGGCTGGGTGGTTTGGGAGTATGTGGGAGCCACGACTTGATGGGATTAGGCCCTACCGAGGTTACTGGTGGGCTCCATTTAAATCTTATGATGAACCATAAACCATAGTCATATCCATGTACATAGAACCTCATTTCCCAGGACATTCCTGACACCCATGACTGAGGGTGTCCTTTACCTTTGGGTGTAAAAGTTATATTTAGAGGGTTACATAGAACTCCTGTTTTGCACTTGGTTGTCTTATATCCATCTGCATGACAGTCACGGGGGTTTAACTTGGTGTCATTCCGTCCTACCCGAATTAGACTATCAGGGGAGTTCAGTTTCCAATAAACAGTCCCTGTTTGTTCACATCCCCACGTATTGCAATATAAATCATTTTGTCCCCCACATGATCGTGCCTGCTTGCGACTTCAGAAGTCCGCAGGACAGACATAGAAATCCAACTCAGCCAGTTTGCATCGAGCCATTGGGGTACTGCAACCTCCATATTTTTGTTCTATTGCGCTTGTGGGGCAGTTCCTAGCAAAATATGGGATTTGGTTGGGATTTTCTACATCTAGGATATCCCAATCGCCCATGGCAAGCTGACAAATGTCTGGATGAAGGGATGGCCACCAAGTCCATAAGGGAGCTGTATGTGAGATGGACCATACGACCTGTCCAGTAGGATTTATAATTTGCCATTGCTGCTGAACAGGTTGATGGGGATTAGGACTGCTGATGGTCAAGGGGAGGGTCCATAGCCCTATCCATATGGCGAATACGCAGTTCGAATGGGTTACCAGTCTTTTCCAGTTTCCAGCCGGAGTCCGGACAGGGCGCAGGCTTCAGATGGGAGGCATGGATCCAGGAAGCGATCCCATCCACCTTCACCGCTGTAGGTGTTATAAGCAGCACCTGGTATGGTCCCTTCCAGCGGGGTTCCAGGGAGGACACCTGATGCCGTCTCATGTAGACAAAATCTCCCACTTGATATCGATGTGGGGTTCCCTTGTCTCTGGGCTGATAAGCAGTGGCCAACTGTTTCCACAGGTATCGCTGGGTTTGTTCAAGGGCTTTGAGTCTGTCAAGCAAGGGGGTGTGAAAGGAATCATTAAGTCTCAGAGTTGGGGTTAAGTCCCTTACTGGAGGAGGGGCGCCATAGAGAATTTCATAAGGGGTGAGGTTACACAAAGAGGCGGAGGGGATATTTCTTGCACGAAACAGTGCATAAGGTAGGAGCATAGTCCAATCTTTTATGCTGGTCTCCAAGCTTAATTTCGTTAAGGTCTCTTTGATGGTTCTATTCATCCTTTCTACCTGTCCTGAGCTCTGGGGTCTATAAGCACAATGTAACTTCCAATTAATCCCCAGGGTCCTCGCCAATCCCTGACTTACCTGGGCCACGAACGCCGGTCCGTTATCGGACCCTATTACCTTAGGCAGGCCGAACCTTGGAAAAATGTCTTCTAGGATCTTTTGGACCACCATCTGAGCCGTTTCTTTCTTCGTGGGGAAGGCTTCAAACCATCCTGAAAAAGTATCTACAAAGACTAGGAGATATTTAAGTCCATACCTTGCTGGCTTAATTTCAGTAAAGTCCACTTCCCAGAATTGTCCTGGTCTGGTTCCTCGTAAGCGCTTCCCTGCAGGAAGCTTGGATGGGTAAGCATTAACTAATTGGCAGACTTGACAAGCTCTAGTCACCTGCTCAGCTATTTCTTTCCTCTGTGAGTCAGTCAATAATAAGTCCTTTCTTCAGTCCTTTAAGAGTGCCTGTAACTTCTTTGAGCCTAAGTGGGTGTACCTCTTTGACATAAAGTTGGGCTTTTTGAAATTGTAAACTTGGCTCTGTAGGGTCCCAGAGTTCTGTATCTGTCTCCTCAGATGATAAGTTGCCTGAATGTTCCGGTGCAGCCAAGTCTCCTTATTGTTGCTCCCCCGGTGTGGAAAAAGTTAACAGGGTCACTCCGTTTAGGGCTGCCAATTTAGCTTCCTCATCTGCCCTTCTGTTTCCAACTGCCACGGGGTTGTTCCCCTTCTGGTGCCCTGGACAGTGCACTATAGCTAGTTCCTTAGGGCCCTGCACTGCCGAGAGAAGGTGGAGGATCTCATCTTTGTTCTTTATTTCTTTTCTGGTGGAGGTTAATAGCCCCCTTTGTTGGTAAATAGCCCCATGCACATGAGCAGTGGCAAATGCATAGCAGCTATCAGTGTATATGGTGGCCATTTTGCCTGTTGCTAGTTCCAGTGCTTTCGTAAGGGCAATCAGTTCTGCTTTTTGAGCTGATGTCCCTTCTGGGAGATTAGAGGACCAGATGACATTAGTTTCGCTAACTACTGCTGCTCCAGCCCGCCACTTACCGTCTTGGAGGAAGCTGCTGCCATCCGTAAACCATAGGACTTCAGGGCGAGGCAGTGGCTGATCCTTCAAGTCTCGTCGTACACTGGTTTCCTCTGCCAGTATGTGTTGACAATCATGAGCAATGGGTCCTGATGATTCTTCTGGCAGCAGTGTAGCCGGGTTGAGTGGAGCAGGGGGTCCCAGCGTTATTCTGTCTTTGTCAAGCAAGAGGCTCTGGTAGTGGGTTATTCTGGAGTTTGATAGCCACCTGTCTGGAGGCTGACGGATGATGCTCTCCAGGGCATGGGGGGCTATAATGGTTAGCTTCTGCCCCAATGTTAATTTATCAGCATCCTTTATTAGAAGGGCTGCCGCTGCTATAGCTCTTAGGCAATGGGGCCACCCGCTAGCCACTGGGTCCAGTTTTTTTGATAAGTATGCTACTGGCCTTTTCCAAGGTCCCAAAGTCTGAGTGAGCACTCCCCATGCTATTTCTTTCTTTTCCTCGATGTAGAGAGTAAAGGGTTTTTCTACATCTGGGAGTGCTAAGGCCGGAGCAGATAGCAGCGCCTTTTTGATATTATCAAAGGCTTGTTGGTGCTCAGGGGTCCATTGGAACTGGGCATCCCCCTTTATCAGCGGGTATAAAGGGGCAGCCAGAGACGCGAACCCAGGAATCCATAACCTGCAAAAGCCGGCAGTCCCAAGAAACTCTCTGAGTTGTCTCTTATTAGATGGGGGCAGTATCTGCACAATGGTTTGTTTTCTGGGCTCAGTGAGCCATAGTTTGCCACCCCTAAGAGAATAACCCAGGAAGATTACTTCTTGCTGGCAAATTTGGTCCTTTTTGGCAGAAGCCCTATATCCAAGCTGAGCAAGCTCGGATAATAGTGCTTGGGTCCCAGACTCACAGTTCTCCTTGGTGTCGGCTGCCAGTAACAGATCATCCACATATTGGAGTAGGATGACTTCGGGGTGTGCAGTTCTGAAGTCGTTGAGGTCCCTGTGGAGGGCTTCATCAATGAGAGTGGGGGAGTTTTTGAACCCCTGTGGGAGTCTAGTCCAGGTTAGTTGGCCAGATGTTCCTGTTTCTGGGTCTACCCACTCGAAAGCAAACAGCAACTGACTGTCCTTATGTAGGGGCAAGCAGAAGTAAGCATCTTTTAAGTCCAGCACAGTGTACCATTCCCGCTCCAGATTCAGAGTGCTAAGCAAATTATATGGATTGGGTACTGTGGGGTGAATGTCCTGCACTCTGTTGTTGATCTCTCTTAGGTCTTGAACAGGACGGTAGTCCCCAGTCCCTGGCTATCTTACTGGCAGCAGGGGGGTATTCCAGGCTGATTGACAGGGCCTTAGGACCCCAAGAGCCAGGTATTTCTGAATATGGGGCCTTATCCCATCCTTAGCTTCTTTGCTTAGAGGATATTGTTTAACACTGATTGGAGAGGCAGAGGCTTTCAATTCTACTACTATTGGAGGTTGTTTTATGGCTAGACCTAACCCAGCAGTTTCTGCCCAGGCATTAGGATAAGCTTTTATCCATTTCTGGGGTAGTTTGCCTGTTTGATCAGTCCTAGGAGGCGTGAAGAGTTGATGTTCATCTTCTACTGACATAGTCAAAGCCGTGACCATGGGAGTTTTTACTGAAGGATTTAGAAACTCCACTTGGGGACCATCAGGGTTAAAGGTTATTCTAGCCCGGAGTTTGGTAAGCAGATCCCTGCCCATCAATGGGGCCGGGCATTCTGGGATTACTAGGAAAGAGTGGTGGACTTTTCCCTTTCCTAGGTCCATAGTCCTCTTAGTTGTCCAAGCCCGATATCTACTGCCATTAGCCCCTTGAACCAGGGACCTTTTATTTGATAGGGGGCCCAGTGGGGTCTTAAGGGCTGAGTATACTGCTCCTGTATCCACTTCAAAGTTCACTGGGGTCCCCTCCACTTCAAATGTTACCCTGAGCTCGGGGAGGGGATCCGAGCCCCGACTTTCCTAGTCCTCTTCTAGAGTCAGCACGGTGGGCTGGCGCGGCTGCTTCTTTTTGGGGCACTCTTTGGCCCAGTGTCCTTTTTCTTTACAGTAGGCACATTGGTCTGAGGCCAGGGGCAGCTTTTGGCGTGGGCCCAGGTATCCCTTCCTGTCTCCCTGCTTTTTAACTTCTGGCCTATTTGCTGCTGTGACCAGGACCATAGCCAATGCTTTAGTCTGCCTTTTGCTCCTTTCATCCTCCTTTTGTTCCCTTTCCTTCTCTCTCCTCTGTTCCCTCTCTTCCTCAGTTTCTCTCTTATAATATACTTTCTCAGCTTCTCTGACTAAATCTCTTAAGGTCATATCTTGTAATCCATCTAGACGTTGTAACTTTCTCTTAATATCTAAGGCAGCCTGCCTGATAAAGGCCATTGCAACAGATGCCTTTTGGTCCTCTGCCTGAGGATCAAAAGGAGTATATCTCCTATATGTTTCCATAATTCTCTCCAGAAACATAGAGGGAGACTCATTAGGCCCTTGGATAATCTCTCTTACCTTGGCCAAATTAGTCGGCCGTCTGGCGGCCGCTTGGAGACCCGCTATTAGAGCCCGGCGATAAGTGGGCTACCTTCAAAGGTGTTGGGGTCCCAGTTGGGTCGGTTTAAGGGGAAGCCAGCTTCAATGATGTTGGGAAGTTGGGTTGGTCGCCCATCTGGTCCGAGAATATTCTTTCTGGCTTCCAAGAGGATTCTCTCTTGTTCCTCTGTCGTGAAGAGAGTCCCCAGGAGTTGTTGGCAGTCATCCCAAGTGGGCTGGTGCGTAAACATCAGCGACTCAACTAAACCTGTGAGTTGGGTGGGGTCCTCAGAAAAAGGGGGATTGTTATTTTTCCAGTTATATAGATCTGAGGAGGAGAAAGGACAGTATTGGTTGGCTTGCATTTCCCCTCCATGGCCATCATCTATCATGGGCCCGTAGGGACGGAGAGGAAGCATCACAGGGGCTTCTATTATTCATCATCGGCGGGTTCCTTTAGCTGGCCCAGCTTCCTCCAGGGGAGGAGGGGCTGATGCTGCTAGTGCAGGGAAGTCCTCTGGAGGGCTCGGGTCTGGCCCAATTGCCTCCAGTGGCAGAGAGGCTGAGTCAGCGACGGGAGGGTCATCTGGAGTGTGTTGGGGGTTGGGGAGTGAGGGTAGAGGATAAGGAGGGGGAGGAGAGTCCAGTAAAGTTAAATCTTGTGACTCAGGGAGAATGGAGGGAAGAGGGGGAGGATGGGGAGGAGCAGAGGGTTTGAGTGATAGGATTGTGGGGGAAGGGGTCGGAGTGGGGGCAGGGACAAGGAAAGGCTTCACCCATGTGGGAGGAGATTCACAGAGGTCCTGCCAGGTTAAGATATATGGCTGTTGATCTGAGTGGCCACGTGGCCCCGGCTGAAAGACAATATCTCTGACTTTTCGGATGAGAGGGAAGTAGAAGGATCCTTCTGGGGTCCATCTGACTCCGAGGGTGGGCCATTCTGAAGTACAGAGAGTCTGCCAGGTCCTGCGTTTTACTGAAAAAGAAAGATTCTGGGCCCTTGAGCGGACATCAGTCCAATGATCAAGGGTTAGGGACAGAGGCATGGAAGTGCTTTGTCCCATAATGGGGGATACTCAAACAGGGACAGTGACAACACAAACGTGACACAGACAAAGACAAACAGTAAACGTTTAACACGAGTCCAAGATAAAGATTAGAACTGAGTAACTGGCAAAACCTGATGGGCTAGACCAGATATCTCAGCTGGGGGCTCCAGATGAAAACGTCCGGCGAATGTTGGAGAAAAAGACCACCAAGAGACCGCCTCGTGCAACAGCAAAGGGTTTATTGGGGGTCCAGCATACTGGGGCTCAGAGCTCACTTCAGAAGAGCAGAGAACAAAGAGCCCTGAGAACCACTTGAGCAGAGTTTATATACATTCTTTAGAGAGGGCAGGGGCTTTACATACATCATAGCCTCCTTTAGCAAATCATCATATACTGCGGGAAAATCAAATAACAACTCCAAAACATGATTAGCACATTCATTGGCGGGAACAGGTCGGGTGGGGGTGATTGGTTAGTACTAAGATAGGTATATATTTAATCTGATTGGTTGAAGCCCTGAGATGTGTACGTGCTGAGCTGCACGGTTTCTGGGAAGGGGTGATTTAGTAACTAGGTGGTCAGGGGAAGATTTCCACACACATCTAACAGGCAGTTCCGGGAATTGTCTTAACTGCCACAGGAATTTCAGGCTCTGAGTGCAGCTTGGAAACTTTTACAAAACCTGGTCCTTTACATTTTAACTTCAATTTCTTTATCCTTTCAATTTAATAAATATCAACATCTTTCCCACTCCCATTAATTGTAGTTGGTTTCATTAATTTATTCTCCCTCAGCTCTGTATTTGGTATTTGCCATGTAATGTAGAAGTGACTTTTCTGAAGTTTTATGATAAATCTGTACGTACAAATACATGTAATACGCTAGATGCTATTTAATAGAAGTGGTAATAGAACAATCAAGGATATATTTGTGGGTAGGGTCTTAAAATAAATGTTTGCAATACTTGTCACTACATACTTCTGATACATAAATTTAGGTAAAGCATTTGAGGTTTGGAGATTCTGATTATAAAATAATAACAACAACTATGGACATTCATGTTTCTATTCCATTTTTCATGACATGAGATGAAATATAAAATACAGTTCAGGGCATCCACATTAAATTCTTTAAAGCAAGGAGAGCTATTAGTAGCTGTTTCAATAATAAGAAGAAAATACTCCAGAATTTTATTATAAACACTATAAATACTTTTCATTAATATGTACTTCACTTTTTCTCATTCTCTTAATTCATACAATCAACATTTCTCTTTATTGCATTTGTGGATTGAAAGAGAACAATGTGTGGAAAAGAAAGCAGGACTATCTGTGCAATTATGAGATGAAACCATCAAATGGATTCTTCTTCTTCTTCTTTTTTTTTTTTTTTTTTTGGAGTAATGCAAGTCACTGGTGAAGTGGCTAAGAGATTATGGGAACAGATGCTGAAATAAGAAACATCTTGCATTATTTCATTTAGAGGAAGCAGCATAAACACCACCATAAAATAAAGTACTTGGTGCACTCAGAAAAGTCTGTCATTATCAGATAAATGCCTTTTTTATTACAAGCAGGAAGAACACAGATGGCATGGTGGGCTCATTTTGGTATTTATTAAACTAAGTTTATTGAAGAGCAGGTAGGTAACTGAGTATTTTCAGGATATGTTCAATGCCTTAGAAATGTAATGAGATCTTTCTCAGAAAGGCTTGTCAGGACTCATGTGACATTGTCATTGATTATGAAAATGTTTGATGAAAAAGCATTTTTTTTCTCTACCAAATATCATAAGAGTCAGCATGGCTAAAATACTTTGACATTTTTGAATGTGAGAAATATCAGGAAAGGCTGAAGAATCTGTTTCCCTCACTATTCCTTTGTGCTTACTAAAGTAAATAAATAAATACACAAAAAAGGACAAGAGCATGGATTTACAATTTTCAGACCCAAATTTCACTTTTATACTAAGGCATAAGCTGAATGAGAACTAATTCTAGCTCGAAGCCTGCTAATTTAACTGAGTTCTTTGCCTCCATTTTATTTGCATTTGAAAAAAGAATTTCTGCCTTTACAATGAAAGCAAGTCTGTGGAGCAAAGGATAAGTCCCATATCTTTCTAGCTTGTCATTGTTCCAGAATTTCTGTGACAAATTTCCCCGTTAAAAAAAAAAATAAGATTATCTCCTTTATTTTCTTCACATTTTACTTATGTGTTTCTCTCAAGATATTGTATGATCTTATGCTTAATTGTAGCAAGTTTTTATAATATATCTAAACAATTCCATTATTCTTTTTTATCTAAAAATATATATAATGAAATACCATTGTGAAAATAAATAGCCAGGAATAAATAAATAAATATATATTTACATATATATTTGTTTATATATGTAAATATGTATAAATATATATAGTATTTAATATATATTGTATATAATGTATATAAAATTTAATCTGGACTGTTTCAGAGTTTTAATCCATGAGGTAATCTATTTCTATCCTGGGGAAAATAAAGCAATAGTTTATAAAAATGCACCGTCGAGTATAAGAATGGTTGAATAAATAAATCACAAATGTGTTTTGGTTTGAAATTTTTTAAGATAATTGCCTCTGTTCCCTATTTCCCTGAAGTGAATGTACACAGTCAAAAGCAGATGCTACAGTTTATACTCTTGGGGTCTGACGTGTAGTAGTAGTCACCACCAAAAATTATTGCTAAAATGCATATCAGTGAACATGTGTGATACAGATAAACCTGCATAATTAATTATCATGGGTTTAGTGATTATCTTTCAGCCAAAAGTAATATATAGTGTCTTGTATATTAATGCTTAAATCTGATATGATATAAATTCAACTTCTTCTGATCTGTTTATCAAATCAAAAGCATTATTTTCATATCACATTTTGAATGCATGCAGCTACTCTCTTTATTTAATACATTTGTTGAGCAAGAATATAATTTCAAAAGAATTATACCATGATATAAGGTTGCGATTGTGATTGCTTTTTAAAAGTCATAGTGTCTTCCTCAATACATAGTAAAGGACCCATAGCTTTTTCCAATGATGATAACAAAGATTTTGATGAAGGAATGTGTATTTTAAAACATCTGTTCTTTGGTAGAAGGTATGCTCTGCTAGGCAGGGCTTTAGTCCATTGCTAATTCAAATTCCCCATGTAGTGACTATGTTTAGAAATGCATGGCCATGAAAAATGATTTAGTATCATTCTGGTATCTGCCTTCCCTGGTGCTTATGTAGTTGCAACTCTAACTGTTCATTCTTTTGTAAGAGTTGGAGTAATTATTTGTAGAAGAAAGTAATTCTCTAGATTTATTTAATAAACCAATTAGCAGATTACCTAGAGAACTTAGTAGCTAATAACAAGGAGCACTGAAGAGGTTGGAATGTATTGCACAATTTTTCATTAAAGTAAAGCTACAGTGGGAAGTTTTACTCAAAGTATGCCAAATATTTAAAAAATCAAAATTAAATTAAATAATTATAAAATAAAGTAAAAGAACACTAAAGAAAATTAGGAAAGCAAAGACAAAAGTTATCAACCCAAATCTTATTTTCAAAACTGCCAAATGACATATTTTTCATTTGGACTCAAAGTTTGTATTGAAATAAATTTTTAAGCATTATTTCACTACCTAGCTTCATAGCCCTGAGAACCATAACTTACATTATATATGTATAATATTACACATATTATATCATATATAATGTTTTATATATATAATAGATACAAAGATAATCTGATCACTTATATTTTCACTCATTTCTACTGTGTATGTGTACATCAAAAATGTATTCTTGTGAAACTCTACATGTCCTGTGCTCCTAGTTTTCTTGAGAAAAATTCCTGTAATGATTTTTCCTTTACTATTTAAAAATGATTTTGAGTTCATTGAAAACTAATTGAGATTACAAGAAATAATACAGACACTCAATAAGCCCTTTATTCTGTTTCCTTAGTTATAACATCTCACAGAAGCAGGATAAGGAATTTGAAACAGTCATGACATCTACAGCATCACCATGGGATACCTTATACTGCCCACTAATAATCGTACCCCCTTTCCAATTTCCTATCAACCCCTGGCAGCCCCTTAGTCTTCTCTCCATTCCTATAATTTTGTGGCTTCATAAAATTTATATAAATAAAATCATACAGTATGTATAACATACTAAAATCAATCAACATAATATGCCATGTTAATGAAATGACAGTTTAAAAACGCCCCCACATGATCATGACTATTGTAGATCAAGCATTTGACAAGATCCAATACACTTTCATGAAAAAGCAAAAGCAACCTAAAAATAGGAAAAATAATCTCATGATTTCATTTATACTAATAATTTCATTTGTTGAGCAATTGTAAATTGTAATACAGTCTTAACTGGGGTGGCTATGTATTCATTGCTAGTGCTTACCTTTTATTCAGCAACTTTCATGAACTCACTGATTAGCTGTAGAAGATTTTTTTTTTGTAGATTTTCCTGAGTTTTGTATTAAGTCATAAGCAGATTGGGACATTTTTATTTCCTCCTTTATTATATGCAAGCCTTTTTTTTTTTGTCTTAGATCTTTGTGGCACTTGTATAACCATGTTGAATTAAAGACATGAGAACAGATAACCTTGCCTGGTTCCTGAGAAAGCATTGTTTTCACCATGAAGCATAACATTAACTGCAGGTATTTTATTATACTGTAGGTATATATTCTCTACCAACTGGTATCATTCCACTCTATATTTTGAAATTTTTTTTCATAAGTGTATTTTGAAATTTGCCAAATGTTTTTCTGATCTGATCTTTATTATACTGTGATTTTATAATCCTGCTAATATGGAGGAATGCATGCTTGATTTTCAAATGTTGAACCAGCCACCACATGAACCTCACTTGCTCATGATGTAAGTCTTTGTATGTAAAGGTGAATTCTGTTTGCTAGAATGTGTTAAGAATTATGACGTTTATTTTAAGAGGGAAGGCATTTCTTTAGTACTGGCTTTT